GAGCGGGTGCTCCTGCTGAGGGTTCTGGTGCTGTCCCGGCTGCTTCTAGCGTCGCCGCGCGGCCTCGACCGTACTTCGTGCCACTCCTGCAGCAGGTTCTTGGTCTTCCACCCTCTACTGGTCCTCCTCCTCCCTTAGAGTGTCCACAGCCTGTCTCGTCCCAGCTACAGTTGCAGCCTACCTCCCCTTTGCCTGCTCCTTCTCCCTACACTGGTCCTACTGGAGGTCTGGCTGAGCGTCGTGAGCCTGCGTCTCGCCCTGCGTCGCCTGTCCGTGCTGCTCGCACTAGTGGTCGCGGTTCGCGTCAGCGTCCTCCTCCTGTCCCTGGCACGCACCGGATGTCTCTGCGTCCGTCCACTGCTCCTCTGCGTGCCCCTTTGCCTTCTCCTCCTGAGTCCTCTCTTCCTGCTCTTGCCGACCCGGAGTCGGACTCTCTTCGTGCTGCCAGTCCTACTGTCACGCGTCTCCTTGCTACTGTTGTCACTGACCCTTCTTTCGAGTCTACTGCTGCGTCTGCTCTCGTTACTGAGCTCGTCGACTTTGCTGCTCGCTGTCGCTTAGACTACGCTGCTAGTCTTGTCGCTGAGTCTGAGTCTGTCTGTCCTCCGTCCGTCGGGGGTGAGTGTGCCCTTGGCACGGACGTCCTTGAGGACAGGCAGGAGGAGTTCCAGTGTCTGGCAGCTGCCTCACCTCATCTCGTGTCCGTACTGCTTACCCCTGAGGGAGACCCGGATGCACTTGACATCCCGACTCCGCGCTCTTACGCGGAGGCGATAGAGGGTCCCTACTCCTCTCAGTGGCAGGCAGCTATGGATGCAGAGATGGCTTCCTGGAAGTCCACAGGCACCTACGTTGACGCTGTCCCCCCTCCTGGGGCGAACATCGTCAGTGGCATGTGGATCTTCAGGGTGAAGCGGCCGCCGGGTTCTCCGCCTGTCTTCAAGGCGCGTTACGTGGCTCGTGGCTTCAGTCAGCGGCAGGGAGTTGACTACTTTCAGACCTTCTCCCCCACCCCGAAGATGACCACTCTTCGGGTACTGCTGCACGTTGCTGCTCACCGTGACTACGAGCTGCACTCTCTTGACTTCAGCACAGCTTTCTTGCAGGGCAGCCTGCACGAGGAGATCTGGCTGCGTCGCCCACCTGGCTTCACTGGGTCTTTCCCTTCTGGTACCCAGTGGAGTCTCCGGCGTCCAGTCTACGGTCTCCGCCAGGCGCCACGTGAGTGGCATGACACACTGAGGACTACACTTCCGGCTCTTGGGTTTGCTCCTTCTACTGCCGACCCGTCGCTGTTTCTACGCACCGACACCTCTCTGCCGCCGTTCTACATCCTCGTGTACGTCGACGACTTGGTCTTTGCCACAGCTGACACTGCTGGACTCGCCTACGTGAAGTCCGAGCTGCAGAAGAGACACATGTGCACAGACCTGGGTGAACTGCGCAGCTACCTTGGCTTGCAGATCACCCGGGACAGAGCACGCCGCACCATTACCCTGACTCAGTCACACATGGTGCAGCAGGTCCTTCAGCGCTTCGGCTTCACGTACTCCTCGCCTCAGGCCACTCCTCTGTCTACTCGCCACTCGCTCTCAGCTCTGCCTTCGGATGAGTCCGTAGAGTCGAGTGGCCCGTACCCAGAGCTTGTTGGCTGCCTCATGTACTTGATGACCTGCACACGACCTGACCTTGCATACCCTCTTAGCATTCTGGCACGCTATGTTGCTCCTGGGAGACACAGACCAGAGCACATGGCTGCAGCGAAGAGGGTGTTGCGCTACTTGTGCAGTACGTCGGGCATGGGGCTAGTGCTTGGAGGGCGGAGTCCAGTGGTCCTCACTGGGCACGCGGACGCTTCTTGGGCTGACGACCAGGCTACGCAGCGGTCGTCACAGGGTTACACCTTCAGCCTTGGTTCCGGCTCTGTTTCGTGGCGGGCTACTCGCTCGTCTTCTGTTCTTGGCTCGAGTTGTGAGGCTGAGATCTACGCCGGGGCCATGGCTGCACAGGAGCTTCGCTGGCTCACCTACCTGCTGACCGACCTTGGAGAGCCGCCTCGTTCTCCTCCAGTCCTGTCCGTAGACAACAAGGCCATGCTGGCCTTGTGTCGAGAGCAGCGACTGGAGCACAGAACAAAGCACATTCTCTCCGCTACTTCCTTGCTCGTGAGCTACAGCAACGTGGTCAGTTGCGGCTTGCGTACGTGGCCTCTGAGGCCAACACTGCTGATGTCTTCACCAAGGCACTTCCGCCTTGTGATCATCAGCGCTTCTGCACTCAGCTGGGTCTTGTGCCCGTCTTGCCTCACTTGCTCTCCTCTTGACCTTGCCTGTACTCTCACATATATATATACCTGCTCTTGCTTGTCTAGCTTTATATATATGTGTGTACTCTTGCATGTGAACTAGCCGTGTGGCCTTGACCCTGTGCTCGGACTGTGTGGTGACTTTGTGATCCACCCTGAGCTTGCTTTGCTTTACTTTGCTTGACTGGTCTTGTGACCCCTTGTTCTCCCCCACTTTGCCTATGGGGGTGTGTCAGAACATTATAGCTTATGCTGTTGTGTAGGCTATAGTGGGGTATCCCATAGGGGGTACAACCAATTAGGGTTTCATATTTGTACTCACTTCATTTCATAGTTCATCAATTCTTGTTCAAATCTTCTCATCCTGGACTTGCACTGCGTACCTAGTACCCTGGACTTTGAGGGCTAACGTGTGCTGCAGCTTGATTTCCGACCGAGAGAGCCGCTCCTGCTCAAGTATTTCGCGTGCGTCTGTGGGCATGGATGTCTCACACACCGTGAGCCAGGAATGGAGCGGGGTGGTGTTGTCACGGGGAAGAATCATGTGGCTGTGAGCTTGTGTCAGCGCGGTGTCTGGTGCTAGCGTGAGTGAGGAAAAGAAAAGAGCTGCCTGTGTGAAGCTGGCTACGAAGCCGTAGACGCCTTCTACAAGTGGGTCCGTGATTCCCAGCCCGCCTAGGGATGATGGAAGTGATGCCTGCGCCCACACTCTCGTCTGCTCCGTGCTACAGGTAGGAACCCGAATCCCGCATGATGTCAAGAGCGCGGCTAGAAGGTCTCTTCCCCACTGTGCCCAGGTGTCTCGTGGAAGGAGGTTTAGCGGCTGGCGGCGCCAGCTGCCGGCCCCAGGAAGCTGCCGAGTAGGCGTATCCCGTCCTTCGAAAACGGGACCCCTGGTGGCAGTTGGGTTGACTCGTCCCCGTTTGTGCTCCAGGCAGCACATTTTTGTGGGTTGTGTTTCAGCCCCAGTTGCGCTAGCTTGCTAGTGAAGAGAGTGAAGGCTGCTACAGTGTCCTTGTCGTCCCCCCAAAATGTGACGTCGTCCGCATATGCCAAGCAGAGTACCTGTGGGTGTGCTGTGGCAGTTTCCCGAAGGGCTGGGTGTATCCCAGCTGCGAACAGTAGAGGGCCGAGTGGATCCCCCTGCCTCACGCCGCGTTCGCTGTTGAGAGGGTTGCTAGCGAAGTTCGAGTCGAGGTACAGCTTCGACGGGTTACCGTACGTAAGCCGGACCAGTGGGAGCAGTGACGAAAGGCTGTTGTCGCGTAACCCGTCGATGATTGACTGGCGCGAAATGCTGTTAAAGGCATTTGAAATGTCTGTCTGTAACACCACGCAGCAGTCTCTTGAGTCGACGAAGGAACGTGCGACATGAATGTTGGCCTTGGCTCCCCCTGGTACCGCCACCCCGTACTGTAGTGGCAGGAAATGGTCACGTGCAGCTTCCCCAATTGCTGTCAGTGCTGCCTTGGCTGCGAGGCGCGTCAGGCATTCGCCAATCGCAATTGGCCGGACCCCCCCCCCCCTGGTTTGGACAGCGCGATTAGGCGCGAGGCTGTCAGCAGGTCCCCCACTGGCTCGGGTAATTTGCCTGCTAGGAGGGTGTTAACTAGGGCATGCAGGTGGGTGCAGACCGATGCGTTGGTTGCGGATGCGTCGCGCAGGTGTTCGAATGCGGTTCCTGACGGTCCAGCCCCAACACCATTTTCGCATCGACCCAAAAGTTTGGCGAAGTCAGCTTGGCTGATCTGCAGGTTCGGGCCAGGTGTTGTTGGCCAGCTCAGCTGCTCGATGTCGGTTGGTGGGTGTTTCGCGCGGAGTTCATCCAGAATTGCTGGACCCGGTGTGCAGACCGGGGTTGACTCGAGGGCCAGCACGGCTCGGCGTAGACTTCCACGTTTTGCTAGGCCCTCCGCCCTGCTGAGTACTCCCGCCTCGTCAGGCTGGTGAAGTGGAGGCGGTGGGGTGTTGATGGCTTCGATTGCGTCAGAATACAGCTGCTCCCACTCGCCACGCTGGAAAGCTCTGAGACGAGCTTTGACTTCGGGCCACTTCGGTCTTCTCGGCGACGTTTGGCGAAGTGTGAGCCGCGGCAGAAATAGAAGTAGTCGCCACCCTGCGACCGAATCTGGATTTTGCGCGAGATGAAGGAGCGGGGTGAGTAATGCCAGTGAAAACAACTGACATAGATTGGGCGGTAATCGGCGCGACAGGGATGGTTGACGACTGTCGCAGAGGGCCGCCACGTCCCAATCAGCGATGACTGCGAACAGGTCTGTTCGCTTCGCCAATTCCCCTGGCGAGTAGTAGCGGGGGCAATGTGTTTGATTTGTTGTTGTACTGCCATTGCGCTCGGTTTGATTTCTCTGAGGGCGCCTTGGTGTTCCCTCCTGACCAGGGGTTGGAATCGTAGCTGTCCGATTCGCCGGTGGCACTCCTCCTTCCATGCGCGTCTCAAACTCGGCAGCTTGCCTCCGAGGCTTTGGACTCTCAGCTTCCACAAATTCTTCCTCGTCACTCTCACTTAGTGGCAGCGGCTCCTCCCTATAAGAAGGGTCACCTCGATCCTCCTCCTCATTAGCCCATTCTAGAGCTGTTAAAGCCTGTCTCCCTGCCGCCTGGAAGCCATTCTCCGGTCCACCTCCATCACCGCTAGCTGCCACTCTCCCTCTGCCTCGTCCTCCACGGCCTCTCGATGGTGATTGCTGGGCCGACCGATTATTCGCCAACGCGCGTTGGCGCTGTGTCGGTTGCGTACGGAATGCCACCGCCTGCCTCCGGAACGGGGACCATGGCGACGGGCCCCCCAACACTTCCTGCTCCGAAGCCCGTGACAGAATGCGCTGGAAACCTTCCTCGCCCCGCACCGTCGTTGCCCGAAGCGCTGGCGTCTCAGCCTGGCGACGGTGGTCGCCAGGCTCCTGTGCTATCGGCGCCTCTTCCCGTCGCGCCGCCTGTCCCTCTCGGTGTGCCAACTGCTGCGTCTGCTCCGCTTGGCGCTCCTCAAGCTGCCGACCCCGCCGCTCCGTCTGCGGCCGCCGAGCGGGCGATTGTTGATGGCGGCGTGCCGGCCCAGTCGGTGGGGTCCGCCACCACTGACGTCCTGGGCCAGCCGGCGCCACCCGCCGCTCCGGCTCCCCCGTCTGCACCGTTTCCGGCGCTTGTGCCTCCCCTGCCTGTGCTGGCGGGGTCTGCTCCTGCTCCGCCCGTGGCTGCGCCTCCCGCGCCTCCTGAGGCTGTACCTCTTGCACCGCCCGTGGCTGCTCCTCTCGCGCCGCCTGAAGCTGCTCCCCTTGCGCCGCCAGTGGCTGCTCCGCCTGCGGCGGGTCTGTCCGCGCCGCCCGTGGCCGTTCCAAATGCTCCGCCGGTGGCAAATCCCCCTGTGCTGCCTGCACAGCGTCCGCCGTCTCCTGGCCGTCGTCAGCAGCGGCCTCAATCCCCCGCGCGGCAGGACGAGCGCGAGATGTCCCGGCGCCGCCACAATTCCCCTCGTCGCCGCGGTTCCCAGGCGAACTGGGCAGCGCAACGCGGCGGCCGAGGCGGCTGGTGGGGGTCGCGTCAGCGGGGTGGCGGCTGGGGGTATGACCAGCCGGTAACGATGGCTGACCTGCAGCGCGTGGTATCTGCTGCTGTGCGCGAGGAACGGAACGGGCAGGCGAGACAGAGCAACTCCCCGCGTGATGCTCAGACCCCAGTAGCGGCTCCTCCAACTGCGCCCTCTGCACCGGCTGCTCCTCGTCCCCCTCCGGTTGTTCCTCCTCCTCCTGTTCACGCCGCTTCAACCCCCCGTCCCGGGGAATCCCCGCCAGCTGCCGTGGGTACCCCCTGTTGCGGGGGTTGAGTTTTTGACCGCGGCAGGGGGGCCCGTGACTGTGCAATATCCGTCCCTGCTGCCTGTGGAACCCCCTCCCCCGTCCGTAGGTGCGGCGCACCCGTTCCAGGCGCTGCTGGGGCCTCAGCGCACGGTTGCGGTTCCGGAGATGACCCTTGGTCAGATCTGGCGCCTCTCGGAGGCTCTGCGGGTCGTACATCTTGTGCAGGTGTATGGTCACGCCGCCCTTTCCCAGGGCGACTCACTGGTGGGCGGCCCTCTGGACGATTGTCTCGCGGCGGCTGATCGTCTCGCCGAGCTGTTGGCGCCCGTGTTGGCTGCGCCCGCGCGGGGTGGGCTTGCGGGGGTTGGGCCGCTGGGTTCGGCCGTGCGTGGGCTGCGCCGCCTGTTGCATGCAGGGACTGGATCCGGGGCGATCGCCGCAGGCACGGTGCTTGTGCGAGAGCTGCATCGCACGATGTCAGGGCTGCTTGCTGTGTATGACGCGGATCAGATGTAGCCTCCGCTTGTGCTTGCTCCATGGCCTTGCTCCATGGCCTTGCTAGTAGGTTGGCCTCTCTCTCTCTCTCTCTCTCTCTCTCTCTCTCTCTCTCTCTCTCTCTCTCTCTCTCTCTCTCTAATGGTCCTTGTATTGATATAGCAGCAAAGTACAAGCATGCAGTGTAAGGATGAAACAAACAAACAAACAAAGCACCCATTCCTACTCACTATTCTTCTAGAGCTCCAAGAAGGGCTCAACCACCGCAAAACAGTCCCCTAGGTGTAACTCATGACCAATACCCCCTACAGGCGGGTTCTCTGCTGCCGCCGCCTCGCCCAATTTGAGTAGAAGACCCACTGATTGGGCCCTCTGAAGGGCCACTGACCATCGCTGCCGAAACTGGTGCAGGAACTTGGCGGCATAAAAGGATTTAGAGTCGGCGTTGAAGTGGCGCCGAGCCGCCGTGTCTGCAAGTAGCTTCAGGAAGGTCGGTACTTCCGCGCATGGGCAGCCATAGGTGTCGACTGCTAATGGGAAAAAGCCAACCGTCTCCGGCCGGTTGGCGTAATGCTGGATTTTCTTGTCCGCTTGTTCCCGTGCCGCCCATCCCCTGCCTTTCTGCGCCTCTGGGTCCCTCGTGCTGATGGGGTCCGTGATGGTGACATCACAGATATAAACCGCCCCACTGCTCCTGTCCGTCAAGGTAAAATCGGCGGTTTGTTCCTCGATAGGGCAATGGACGGCCGACTCGCCGTGAACAATGAAACCTGCGTGCTGCGCCATGCTAATGCACACATCCCGTAGCTCGTTGTGGGTGTTGATGCGGTGTTTGCCCAAGCCGCGGCGGAGGAGATGGTTCGGCAGGCGGGGATCAGTGATGGCGGTCTTGTCCGCGCAGTCGCAGTTCTTAGGGGTTGAAAAGGGGAGGGCCAGGCGGAATCGAACAGTTGCTTTTAGGCAGGATGGATTTGAAGGAAGGAAGTGTCGTACCACTTACAGCACATTTTTTTTAGTTCCTTCAATTATGAGTTAATGTTTGATTTGTTTCATTTCTGTTTGTATTTTGCTTCTTATTGCAACCGTAATGCATGTCTGCATGTCTCAAAAATATATCTTGCTGATCATCGTCACAAAAGGTCCACCACTATGACAGTGAAGCCATTTTCAGCTGGACTTGATCGGTTTAGATATTTTTTTGGGATATGCAGATTGTATTGCTTTGTTATGGTAATGTTTAATTCAACGTTTATATTGCTGACTTCCCCAACATGCTAGGCGGGGGAAGCGGTAGTATAAATTTAGGACTTGAAATATTCATCAATTCGTTTGATGAATATGAGAAATTCAATTATCGTTTGGTCGGTCATTGCATTTCTCCACAGATTCTCAAATTTCATAATTATGCGCGTTACAAAAAAACTTAGAGTAGCAATGACGAACAAAATATTATGGAGCAAAATATGTATGACATTTTACAAGGTAAGATGATTATGTTTATCAGTACCCTAAACAAACATATCTCTAGTTATTTTACATTTTTTGGCGGATATTTAAAAAATAGTGAAAAAAAAAAATTGTTACAGGTCGATTGCAATAGGTTGCTTCGCAACCCAAAAAACCCCGGCTTCCCGTCAGTCCCGCAGTTACCTCCCCGTTCCCCTCCGCGTCCAGTCGCTGCGGAGTACTGGAGGCCCTAGGGGTGTTGTCGGTGCAGGTTCTGGTTGTGGGGGTGATGGAGCTGGAGGCGCCTGCACCTCGGCGCCTGTCAGAATGTATTTGCTGTCTAGCCTGCAGTGGGGTACTCTGTAGTGAGTACAACCCAATTTAGGGTTTGCTATTTGTATCCCAACTCTTCCGAGTGCACTCCTCCTTCCATTTCTCTTTCGTTTACCCTAAACCCTAGCTATGGCTACTAAGTTCTAGCTAGGCTTCTGACATGCTATCAGAGCGAGTACGCTCTTGGCCTGTGGGCCCACCTGCTTCCGCTACTGTCCTGTCTGTCGCGCACCCCGTGGCGTGCGACGTTTTTTCTTCCCGCCATGCGCTCGGGGCGCATGGCGGTTTTCTGCCCGCCGCGCGTTCGGGGCGCGCGGCGGTTTTCTGCCTGCCGTGCGCCCCGAGGCGCGCGGCGGTTTCCTGCCCGCCGTGCGCCCCGGGAGCGCGCGGCGGTTTCGTGCTCCGTCCCGCGCGCTCCCCCTCATCGTCCGTCGAGGCGCCCCCGGGGACCCGCGGGCTCCCCCCGTCGTTCGTCGCGGCACCCTCGGGGACCTGCGCACTCCCCCTCCGTCGTCCGTCGTGGCGCTCTCGGGGACCCGCGCGTCCCCCCCTCCCGTCGCCCGTCGAGGCGCCCCGGGGGCCCGCGCGTCGCCCCCCTCCCGTCGCCCGTCGTGGCGCCCCGGGGGCCCGCGCGTCACCCCCTACCGTCGTCCGTCGAGGCGCCCCAGGGACCAGCGCGCCGCCCCGCTTCCGCTCGCCCGCTGCCCCATCTACTACCCGCGTTTCTGCCCTGCGCCACCTGCGTTTGGGGTGTGGGGGTGGCGGGTATGGGGGTGGCGAGTGTGTGAATCGTCCCCTGCTCCTCCTCCTCCTCGGTCTCCCACTGCTGCAGCTGCCGCTGAGGGGGGTGGGTGTGTGGGAGCCAAGGGAGTGGTGCTAGGGGGGTGACGTGGGAATGGATCTAGGGGTGCAGCAAGGGGTGTGTGAAAGGGGGGTGGGACAGTTGGGGGAGGTTGAGCGGAGGCTGCCGTCTTGTCGTCCGCAGCACCTGTAGTCCGGGGCTCTGCTGCTGGTAGCTCAGAGAGCCTGCTGCGCCTGTCGCCCGTGGGTCCGTTGCTCCTGCCGCTCAGAGTTAGCCGCAGAGCCAGTTACTCATGTAGTCCGGGGCCTTTGCTCTGGTAGCCACCGTGCGCGCCGCTCCTGTTGCCCGTGTGTCTGCAGCTTCAGCCGTCGCCTCCTATCTCCTCTCCTCTCACAGTCCAGCCTCCTCCTCCTCACTTGCCCTTTGTGAATGCCTCTAGCTTTGCTTGTACTGGTGAACCTGCTCTATGACTGCTTGCTCTGCTGATTATACCCCACTTTGACTATGGGGGTGTGTCAGAATGTATTTGCTTTCTAGCCTGCAGTGGGGTACTATGTAGTGAGTACAACCCAATTTAGGGTTTGCTATTTGTATCCCAACTCTTCCTAGTGCACTCTTCCTTCCATTTCTCTTTCGTTTACCCTAAACCCTAGCTATGGCTACTAAGTTCTAGCTAGGCTTCTGACATGCTATCAGAGCGAGTACGCTCTTGGCCTGTGGGCCCACCTGCTTCCGCTGCTGTCCTGTCTGTCGCGCACCCCGTGGCGTGCGACGTTTTTTCTTCCCGCCATGCGCTCGGGGCGCATGTCAGTTTTCTGCCCGCCCTGCGTTCGGGGCGCGCGGCGGTTTTTTGCCTGCCGTGCGCCCCGAGGCGCGCGGCGGATTCCTGCCCGCCGTGCGCCCCGGGAGCGCGCGGCGGTTTCGTGCTCCGTCCCGCGCGCTCCCCCTCATCGTCCGTCGAGGCGCCCCCGAGGACCCGCGGGCTCCCCCCGTCGTTCGTCGCGGCACCCTCGGGGACCTGCGCGCTCCCCCCCCGTCGTCCGTCGTGGCGCTCTCGGGGACCCGCGCGTCCCCCCCTCCCGTCGCCCGTCGAGGCGCCCCGGGGGCCCGCGCGTCGCCCCCCTCCCGTCGCCCGTCGTGGCGCCCCGGGGGCCCGCGCGTCATCCCCTACCGTCGCCCGTCGAGGCGCCCCAGGGACCAGCGCGCCGCCCCGCTTCCGCTCGCCCGCTGCCCCATCTACTACCCGCGTTTCTGCCCTGCGCCACCTGCGTTTGGGGTGTGGGGGTGGCGGGTATGGGGGTGGCGAGTGTGTGAACCGTCCCCTGCTCCTCCTCCTCCTCCGTCTCCCACTGCTGCAGCTGTCGCTGAGGGGGGTGGGTGTGTGGGAGCCGAGGGAGTGGTGCTAGGGGGGTGACGTGGGAGTGGAGCTAGGGGTGCAGCAAGGGGTGTGTGAAAGGGGGGTGGGACAGTTGGGGGAGGTTGAGCGGAGGCTGCCGTCTTGTCGTCCGCAGCACCTGTAGTCCGGGGCTCTGCTGCTGGTAGCTCAGAGAGCCTGCTGCGCCTGTCGCCCGTGGGTCCGTTGCTCCTGCCGCTCAGAGTTAGCCGCAGAGCCAGTTACTCCTGTAGTCCGGGGCCTTTGCTCCGGTAGCCACCGTGCGCGCCGCTCCTGTTGCCCGTGTGTCTGCAGCTTCAGCCGTCGCCTCCTATCTCCTCTCCTCTCACAGTCCAGCCTCCTCCTCCTCACTTGCCCTTTGTGAATGCCTCTAGCTTTGCTTGTACTGGTGAACCTGCTCTATGACTGCTTGCTCTGCTGATGGGGTACTATGGGGGTGTGTCAGAATGTATTTGCTTTCTAGCCTGCAGTGGGGTACTATGTAGTGAGTACAACCCAATTTAGGGTTTGCTATTTGTATCCCAACTCTTCCTAGTGCACTCCTCCTTCCATTTCTCTTTCGTTTACCCTAAACCCTAGCTATGGCTACTAAGTTCTAGCTAGGCTTCTGACATGCTATCAGAGCGAGTACGCTCTTGGCCTGTGGGCCCACCTGCTTCCGCTGCTGTCCTGTCTGTCGCGCACCCCATGGCGTGCGACGTTTTTTCTTCCCGCCATGCGCTCGGGGCGCATGGCGGTTTTCTGCCCGCCGCGCGTTTGGGGCGCGCGGCGGTTTTTTGCCTGCCGTGCGCCCCGAGGCGCGCGGCGGTTTCCTGCCCGCCGTGCGCCCCGGGAGCGCGCGGCGGTTTCGTGCTCCGTCCCGCTTGCTCCCCCTCATCGTCCATCGAGGCGCCCCCGGGGACCCGCGGGCTCCCCCCGTCGTTCGTCGCGGCACCCTCGGGGACCTGCGCGCTCCCCAACCGTCGTTCGTCGTGGCGCTCTCGGGGACCCGCGCGTCCCCCCCTCCCGTCGCCCGTCGAGGCGCCCCGGGGGCCCGCGCGTCGCCCC